GGGCGGCTGCCAGGAGCTGGGACGCGGGGATCGGGGGCTGCAGAGTGACGGCTGGCAGGGGCAGGGTGCTCTGGGGACCGGGAGATGTTCCAAGGTCAGGACTGGGGCAGGCCCTGTGGCACAGTGGCTGAAGCCCTGGTCTGGGACACCGGCATCCCGTGTCGGGGAGCCTAGGATCGAGTCCCACCTCTGCCTCCCACTCCGCTTCCTGCTAACGCGCACCCAGGGAGGCAGCAGACGACGGCTCAGGAGTCCGGGCCCTGCCACCCACAGGGAGACGCGGATGGAGCTCCCGGCCCCTGGCTTCAGCCTGGCCCAGCTGTTGTGGGCATTTGGGGAGCGAACCAGTGACTGGAAGGTTGACCTCTCTCCCTCTCTGCCTTTCAAGTAAATTTAAAAAAAATTAAAAATGAGGATGACGGTTGTACCATCGAATCTACTAGAAAATCACTGGCCCGTACACGTTGAACAGGTGAGCTCTACAGCCTGTGAGTTACAGCTCAACAAAGTTATGTTTTAAAATGCACAGGAGGGCTGGCACTGTGGCGCAGGTTCATCCTCTGCCTGCGGCACCAGCATCCCATATGGGTGCCGGTTCGAGTCCCAGCTGCTCCACTTCCGATCCAGCTCTCTGCTGTGGCCTGGGAAAGCAGTGGAAGATGGCCCAAGTGCTTGAGCCCCTGCACCCATGTGGGAGACCCAGAAGAAGCTCCTGGCTCCTGGCTTTGGATCAGCGCAGCTCCAGCCAGCCAGCCATCTGGGGAGTGAACCAGTGGATGGAGGACCTGTCTCTCTGTTCTCCCTCTCACTGTCTGCAACTTTAACTCTCAAATAAATAAATAAATAATAGAATGCATGGAAAAGGGGAGCTGGCAGAAACACTGGCACCGGCAGAGAATGGCACACAAAGCAGCGCCCTGCATCGCTGATATCTGGGGTGCAGGCGGGCCGGGGTGCAGGCAACTGGGGTGCAGGCGGGGCCCGGCACGGCCAGAGAGGCCCAGAGCCGCTCTGGCAAGGATCTGTGGGAGCCTCCCCGGCCCTGAGGTGTGGTTCTTGGCTCAGAGCATCCCCTCGTGGTGCTGTCGCAAGAAATGGGGACCCCCCGGGCCCAAGAGGGAGCAGGGATCAAGTCCTGTCCTCGAGGCCGGACACAGCTGCTGGCTCTGGGGCCTGGGGCTCCCCAGGGTGGCACTGGTGTGAGGCCCTCTCTCGCCCTCCCAACCAACCAGGCCTCTGGCTTCTGACCCTGGCCGCCTCCCTCAGGGCACCTGCAGCCAGCGGCTCTCCGCTCGCACCTGTGGCCGGCCCTGTCTCCTCCCCTGCCCAGACCCCCGAAGAGGGCTGCAGAGTGGCCGCGCCCGGGCAGAGGAAGCGGGCAGCCTTGTGCTCAGAACTTGGTCTCAAGAGGGGTGAGCGCTGTCCCGCCTGGTTCTCATCCGAGGCGGATGGCCGAATGCCAGACGTGTTGTAAAGCCCACGTTTCCACGTCGCACTGCTGGGGGCGGAGGCTACCCTCCTTACCCATCTCTAGGCCTGGACGGGGCTCTCCGCTAAACCCAGGTGGGGGTTTCTTCCCCACTTAGGAGCTCCTGGGTCTTTCAAAGCCTGCAGCCAGCTGCCAAGGCTGCGTGGGGGCTGGGGGCTGGGGGCCGGGGTCTGGGGGCCGGGCACGGAGCTGGCCGTTTTCAGTAGGTTGGTTTAGTAGCAAAGCAACCTTGGAAGGCGGCTCTCAAAGCCCCTCATTTGGGGACGGGTGCTGTGGTGAATGGGTTAAGCCGCCGCCTGCGAGGCCGGCAACCCTTCCCGCTGCTCCACTCCCGATCCAGCTCCCTGCTAGTGCGTCTGGGAGAGCAGCGGAGGACGGCCCACGTGCTTGGGTCCCTGCACCCACGTGGGAGACCCGGATGGCGTTCCGGGCTCCTGGCATCGGCCTGGCCCAGCCCTGGCTGTTGCAGCCATTTGGGGAGTGAAGTAAGCTCTTTCTTTCTCTTTCAAATAAATAAAATAACCCTTTTTTTAAATGCCCCTCATTTTGCAAGTGGGGAAACTGAGGCACAGAGGGGCAGCAAAGCCACGGGACCCTCAGTTCCACCCTTTGTTTTTCCTTCCCGCTCCCATCTCTGCTCTGGCTCCTGGGAGGGGGCCCTGGTGGGGGGCACAGTAGGCAGCCCCCCACCCCCCAGGCAGCAGGGGCCGTGTCCCCTGAGCACCAGAGAGCCAGAACAGCCCCCCAGGGGTCCCAGGTCTGACCCTCTGCCCATCAGGGCAAGGACAGTGCAGTGCTGCAGCAGGGACCCCCAACCCCGAGGGACACCCGCTCTGGCTCCCTGGTGCACCCTGTTTGGATCGCGCACCCCACTGAGGGCCCTGCGGGACCCTGCACAGCCCTCGCGGCCCTCCAGGCGCGCAGGGAAGTTCACATGTGACTTATCACGGGCCCTGAATCCTGCCCACGGCCTGGCCCGGCGCACTGGGCTCCGAGGAAGTCACCTTTCTCCCCAAGCACGTGGAGGTTCCCTGGCCAGCCCACGGCGGGGAGCAGCCAGACACGGCGGTACCCGTCCACCCCGGCTCCCTGGAAGCTCAACTTGAGGCCACCGACGGAGTCTGATCCTAGCTCGCAATCTGCTTGGGAGCCCCGGGTCCCCTCTTTAAAAGGGACGTGCTGTCCACAGGCCAGGCGGGACCCCGTGGCGGAGTCGCCCTTGTTGCAAGCCGTCGGGGAGGGAGCAGCACAGAGACCTCAGACTCCTCCGCAGGCGCCTGGGTCGGCAGCCGCAGGTGGCTGGAGGCTGCCCTACTGGGCAGCGGCACAGGGAGCTCGCCCGTCACCCTGTGTCCAGTGTCCAGGGGCGCTCGGCTGTCACAGGACTGCGGAGTGTGCGGGAACGTCAGCTTCTCGTTGGCATGGGGCCTGGATTGAGTCCGGGGTTAGGATCAGACACGGCCAGGCACACCAGGTGTGGTTGCCCAGACTGTGTGCACTGCTCACTCACAGACTACAGTGGGACTGGTGCCCCTACAGCTAGGCATTGACAACTGTCCAGCCACTGCCCACTTGCCCGGAAGCAGTTACAGGAAGTCCCGCCTTCCCGTGCCGGCTGGGAGGGCCCTGGGAAGCAGTGGCTTCGCCTCAGTTTCCTGTCGATGGCGCCCAGCACGTGCGCAGGTGACGCCGGCGACTGTGACAATGACCTCCTGGTTGCAGGCAGCAGCCGAGTGAGGCCGCCGGGCGAGTTCTGGGCACGCGGAGGCCGACGCTCACCCAACCCCGAAGCTCTCTGCCCCGTTTCCCTCTCCTCCATCACAGCCGTGGTGGCTGCCGGCACCGCTTCGCCCACTGGGGACACCGACCGCCGAGCCACCCGGCCCCCCCTGCCGGGCGCTAGGTCTCTCAGCGTCGCTGGAGGAACGCGGTGGGGCAGCTCTCGCTTCTCCGTCCGCCAGGTGCACGCTCCTGTGGCAGGGACTCGCGGGGCCTCTCTGCCGCCCAGGGCGCAGCACAGGCCGGCCCACCCAGGCACGCAGCGATGGCCGGCGGCAGGCCCAGGTTCAAGGCCCGGCTTCGCTGAACCGTGACCCCGAGACAGCACACGGGAAGTTTTAGCGCAGTGCCCGGCATCCTAAGAGCTCCCCACATCGCACTCGCGTGTCAACGTGGGCCGGGTGGGGCTGCATCTGGGCCCCACGCTTGCCGGCCGCGCACCGGCTGCGCGATTTTTCACCGATTCCCTCTCTGGACCTCAGGGTTTGTGTCCGGCAGAGGGGCGCTGTTGGGGAGGAGGAGGCCCGGGCACACGGAAGCCTCAAGCGGGTTCTGCATTCCCTCCGCAGAGCCGGGGCTGAGACCCCCACGTGCACACAGGTGCGCGCACACACGTGCTCACACACGTGCACACACGTGCGCTCAGCCATGTGCACACTCACACACGTGCACACACATGCACACTCACATACATGCACTCACAAGTGCATTCTCATGTGCACACACCTGTGCACTCACACACGTGCACACTCACACAGTGCACACACACGTGCACACGGGTACACACACCCACACACTCACACTGCACACACGTGCACACTCACAAACGTGCACACCCACACACATGCACTCACACAGTGCATTCTGCATTCTCACACATGCGCACACTCACGTGCACACACGTGCACACGGGTGCACACACTCACACACTGCACACATGTGCACTCACACAGTGCACACTCACAGTGCACACACTGCACTCTCACACATGTGCACACTCACGTGCACACACACGCATGCACACACATGTGCACACAGGTACACCCACACACTGCACACACATGCACACCCACACGTGCACTTACGTGTACACACCCATGCACTCATGCCCATGCACACTCACAGATGTGCACACTCACACAGTGAACACTCATGTGCACACACACGTGCACTCACACCCGCGCACACACACGTGCACGGACCGCAGGATGCCAAAGGGACCAGCGTCCTCCCCCCGCCTTGTTTCCTGCGCCTCCAAACGCAGAGTCGATTGGGCCCCAGGCCCCGAGCCCGGTCCCTGGAGCACAGCCGCCCCCTCCTCCGGGGTTCTGAGCCTCCGTGTCTGCCGGGACCCGGGTTCCGATGGGATGGGGCCAGTGCAGCCCCACGCCACACAGCGTCTTCCCTGCCCACGCGCACCCCGCCCCGCCCCCAGCGTCATCCCAGCGCCCTGCGCGGAACGGGGCAGCTGGGAAGGCCCAGGCCCTGCCCTTCCACGTCGCTCTCTTCTCCCAAGCACGGGCTTGGCCTGCAAACCAAGAGGGAACTCCCCAAGCCCCGCGGCCCTGCGGAGGCCGCTGGGCAGCAGCCAGACTGCGCTGGCTCCCTCTCTGCTCTCCGTGGGGCCTCCGTGGACAGGGGCCCGGGTGACCCTCCCCATCCAGCCTTGCGCCGGGAGCGGGCACCCAAGGGTTCCAGCACCCCAAGGCCGGGCTGGGCGCACGGAGCTGACCTGGGCAGGGCTGCGGCCATCCCGGGCTGGGGCGGATGTCGGTCTCAATGAAGCCCTTGTCTTCACGCGGTGGGCGGAAAGCCCCCCCCCCCCCGTCCAGATCCCCGCCTTTAAAAGCCGCCCCCGCCCCCAATACCCCGTGCGGCCCAAACGCCCCGGCTTAGGGGAAAAGCTGTGACTCAGAAAGCTTCGGAAATAAACTTAGGAAAACAAGTTGGGGGCCTGGGGCGGGGGCGGCGAGAGCAAGGGGCTGGGTTCCCCGAGGAGGGGGACAGGGCCCCCACGGGACACCCCCCACCCCCGCCGCCGCCGCCCGGCCCGGGAGCCCAGCGCCCCGGGGCGCGCTCGGGGCCGCTCCGCCGGCAGCCGCGGCCGCCCCGCCCGGCCATGTGCGCGCCAGCCCGTGCGTGCGAGCGGCCAGAGCGGCGCCGAGGCACATCTGGTTCCAGGCGAGCCCCTGGCGCCTGCCTCGCCGCAGACCCGCGGCCCAGACAC